CGGGGCGCGGCTGAGGCCGGGCGCGGTTGCGACACCCGCGGCGGGCGGGGTGGGGAGGGGAGTCCCGCGGGGGGAACGGCGCCCCGTCACCTGCGCGCACGTTCGGAGGGGTTACGGCGTTTCGTCGCCGCAGCTCGCGGCTCTCCGCGTGCGGAACGGCTCCGCAAAGAGTTGCCGTTTGTGGCGTTATTTTCAGCGCCGAAAGCGCTGCGGCTCCGGGGCTGCGCCTTCCCGGGGGGGCGGGAGGGGGGGTCCCTGCTCCGTGACCCTGCACAGCTCATCTGGGGGCGCATCGTGAAGGGATTCCGGAACGCACGCACGGTGCGCACACCCGATGAGCCTTCCGGACGTCCCCAGCACGGGTCCGGGTCCCGGAGCAGGGATAGCGTTACCATTGCATCTTGTGGCTTTCCCTACAGCGCGTGAAACGCAGAATGATCGCCGGGAACTGGGGCTTTGAATCCAAACGGTGCGCCTCCCAGCGCTGACGGGTTGGTTTTAGCAGTCACCGTGAAACTTCACGGATCGGGCAGGTTTGGTTCTGCCCCGCAGTACGCGCTGAGCATCAGCGCTCGCGTCCCGCAGATCTGACTGCTCTCATCGCCCCAAAGGAGCCCCCAGCTGCCCCCAAGCGGGCAGAGCCCTTTGTAAACACGGCATAAAATCGTTTATTCTGCCCCAGTATCTTCAAACATGCTTCAGGCAGTTATTGCCCACAGAGATGAAGCAGAGATGAGGGTACCAGGACAGATTTTTTGTGGAAATGGGAAGGGAAGGGAAGGGAAGGGAAGGGAAGGGAAGGGAAGGGAAGGGAGAAGAAAAGGAAAAGAAGATCTTTCCCTTCAGATCTGGGCTCGTAGGTTCGGTGCCCGCCGGGCAGCCCGCAGCGCTCCGGTACCGCACGCAGCAGCCGAGGGCCGCGCTCCCTCTCGCGGTGCGCGCTGGCAGCGCCCCGAAGAGGAGCGCGGAACGAGCCGAGCTTCGCTGCCGAGCCCTCGGACGGAGCATCGGGGATGCAGCGCTGCGCTGCTTCTGGGGATGTCTTGCTGCACGGGGATGTGTCTTTTTCTCGCATTGAAAAGCGCTGTGCGCGCTTGTAAGCCTGTAACTTCGAGGAAAGTTCACAAGGGACAAAATCACACCAAGTGTTCTTTTCCCAGGTTCCCAGGTTGGCAGAAACACACGGAGCTCAGACGCCCCGGGTGCAGCCATCCTGCTGGGACTGCCGTGTTGTGTTTCACACAGTTCTGCACTGCACTCCCACGTTCACGTTTTGCCCCTGACATGTCAGACAGCCGCCCCCCAGCCCTCACTTGTGCCAGTCCCCCACCTGCGGCAGGCCTTCCTGCTCAGCGGCAGGAGACGAGGAGGGACTGCAATGTTTGAATGGAATCGCTTTGGTTTCCTACGTGGGATAATTGCCTTCCTTTGAAATCCATTCATATCCATTTCTGTTACAGTGTTCCCAAAGTAGTGAGAAATCGACGTATGAGATGGAATCCCAACACCACGTAAATGCGTGTAAGTAAACGAGTGCCTGTTCTGTCCATTCGGTTCTCATTCATTCTGTTCTCTTGTGAGAACTGGAAAAAGCCCAAAACACAGTTTGTTATACATGTGGTTTTTGAGTGCTGTAATTGAGCTGGGCAGTTCCCTGTGATTAATTATCTGTGAGTCAAAGACACCAAGCTATCAACAAAGTCTTGTTCTGCTTTATTAATTCTGTCCAAACAAGCACATCCCACGTAAATCTTTTCATGTACAAAAGCTTGTTTAGTTTGCAAGCTATAGAGAGGGAAAAATTACCAAGCAACGATACCTTTCTATTTTCCTTTGAATACTTTAATTTAGGGAGGTGTCCTCGAACCGCTCTGATGTTGGCCAACCTATGTCCTGAAGTCATATTTCAACTGATTATTCCGTTAATTAATCTGTCATGTTCTGTTACAAACTCCACAACCTGATGCTTCTCATGTTCCCCGTTCCAATCTCCAGGGTCTGAGGCTGAAAGATGAACCGTGGATTGGAGCTTCAGCCTTTCTGCACATTCCCAAAAGGGGGAGATAATTTCAGTCCAGTAAATGTAATTCATGCCAAACATGCTTGTAGCTCGAGGTTTCATCAATTATCTAGGATCTGATAAAAAGATAATTGAATTATCCCGAGGCCTTTGACAGATTTTGGATTAGTCTGTTGGAAAAGGAGCCATCGCTTGAAAGTTAATTGCAAAATAAAAGGTCTTCTTCATCAGGTCTGATGGGGGATGCCTACAGTTTACCCTCCCAACAGCACGGTGCCAGCTGGCCGGGTCCCTGCCAGCCCTGCCTTCCTGATGGCAAAACAGCCACCTCACAGCTGGCAGCGCAGCCTCCTGGGACTGCGTGTCCCAGCATGGAAGGGTCCAGGCTGACTGAACAGAAACATCCAAACCAAAGCTGTTTGTTAGAAAGCTTGCTTGCTCGCTTCCACCACCGCTCAGCTGTGTTAGTGGTGACCCACGGGCCCGGCAATAGGAGGAAGACGTGTCAAAAAAAGGATCAGGCTTCCATAGGATGTTCACCAGCAGCGGCAGCTCAGCCAGCACGTGATTCTGCAATGCAGCACATCCTGCCTCAACTCCAGCAAACACAGCGAAAACCTCCTGGTGACCCGCAGGTCTGGAGCCCCTCAGCACTGCAGCGCGGGCAGAGCCGGCAGCTGTGCGTTGCCCTGGGGGTGCTGGAGGTCAGGCTGGGGCGCAGCTCTGGGTTCCAATGCTGACAGATGTTCATTTCACCTCCCCTCTGCGATTCACCCCGTTCCTTCTGATTGTTCACCTGCTGGATATTTGACTTTATTACCAACCTCTCCGGTTACGCACCAATTAAATAATTCGGCTCATTATGCAAATCACCTTCCTCGAGCTGGCCTCTGGGCACGCACAGAGCCGTATCAAAGAGCACCAGTTAGCAGAAATAACATTCAAAGCAAGCAAGCTGCAGAGCGCTGCCGAGCTGCGCCTCCTGCCTGAGAGCCGGCAGCGCCGCGCAGGTCCCCGCACAGCTCTTATGCAATTAATGAGTGTTAATTAGCGAGAGCCGGGCTGGCGGCACCGCAGGACCCACGTGACCCACAGCACAGCACCGCACAGCGCCCCCCAGCGTTAGAACCGCCGGTGCGGCTGAACACAGACGGAGCCCTTCAGCTCAGCGCATGGCGGACAACTCGGGATTTCTATGAAGGACACGGGCTCCTCTGCCCCGTTCCCCGCGGCCAAAGAGGGCATTCTGAGGCCGCACCTCGGCAATCCCGCCTTTCCGAGTCGCCCGGTTGCATTCCCCACCCGGCCGGGCCGCGCTCCGCCCTCTCCCAAGATGGCGCCGTGCTTCGACGCCCCGCGCCTTGCCCTCTTCCAAGATGGCCGCCCCGCTCCGTGCCCTCTTCTAAGATGGCCGCCCCGCGCCGCGGATTGGCGGGCCGCCCGAGGGCGGGGGGAGCGGCCGCATCCCGACAGGCTCCGCGCACTGCCGACCGGAAGAGGGAGCGGGGCGGTTGTTGACAATATGGCGGCCGCTGGCGCCTCCGCGGGAGGAAGAGGCGGAGGGAGAGGTGGCGGCGGGCGGGGGAAGGCGCCTCATTCATAGGGAGCCCGGCTCGCTGCCCCGCGTCCCCCCGCCCCTTCCTCCCTCCCTCCCAGCGGCCGCTTTGCCCCCTCCCCGGCACCATGTCCTTCTTCAGGCGGAAAGGTAGAGGAGGGCCGCGGGGGGGCAGGCGGGCGGGCAACCCCGAGTGCCGCTCTCCTGGCCGCGGCCCGGGCACCGCGCGGAGCTGAGGGAGCGTCCGGGGTTGGGTCGGGCCGCGCGGGGCTCCCTGTGGTGCGGCTTCGCCATTCCCGGCGCTGCCGGGCGGAGCGCCGCTGGCGCCTCGCTGCTCCGTGCGGCGCTGTTGGGGACGCGGCGCTGCGCGTTGCGGCCGAAGCTCCGGCAGAAAGAGGAACCGAGCTGTGCTGAGGTCTTTGTAACGACGACGGGAATCGGCGCCGGAGGGTCCCGTGAGTCGTTTTGCGGGTGTTACACGGCGCAGGTCGAGCAGGGCTCCAGAAATGCGGGGCTGCAGTAACGCGCTTCGGGTCATTTTAGCACTTGTGAACCGCTGCGGGTTTTGTGAGTGCCGTCATCCTTTTAGGGCTGTCTGCGTATTGAAGTGGAGCTGCAGATCTAAACGTCTGTGTTGTCCGTAAGCAAACTGCTCCAAGCTGCTTCTGCCGTGTGGGGGGGGCTGATGTGAGGGACTGAAGGTTCCTCCTGTGCTGAACCATCAAACAGCCTCGGTTTCCATGAGAACT